AGTATTTTTTATTATATATTATCTTATAGATAATAAAATAATGTATAAAACAATTTTTTGGATACGATCAGATCCAGATCCCATCCATATTTTTTGGATCCGAATCCAGATCCCAGTTGCTCAGGAATTGATTGGACCCATTCTAAGCCCCCTTTACTTTTTCTTGAGGTAATGTACGAAATCAGCATATATAACTCATTTCCCATTGGAGATTATGGAGAAAATTTTCAATACATGCATGCAAAGGGGAAAGAGCTCCCAGAAAATAAGAACAATATAGAGCTTAGAAGAAAAAAAAAGATGAAGAACTCTCAAAAAAACATTTAACATATCCACCAGGAATTGCGAACTCTGTCAAAGAGAAGGATAAGTAGAAGCATATTATTTGGGAAGACACCACCCCCCATTGCTTAAGCCAACAAGAATTGCTACTTGTGAAACTCCCAGCACAGTGTAGGAGTCGGAGTGGCTACTTCTGAAACTCCAACGCAGTGTAGAAGGAGCCAGGCAACACAATCTCAAGGGTTCGAAATCCGGCCGCTTCACTAAGGCGACGAAATATGTCTTCGGTTCTCCTCTTGCTTCCTGGGCTATAGATTGCCATTAAAAAGACGTCAGCTTGAAGAAGAGCTCGGGTGCTTGGGCTTGTATCAGTGTGCATGGGAAGAACTTGCTCTAACGCTATCACCTTCCCTTTCTCAGGCAGGGCTTTGTAGCAATTCTTAAGTAGGCCGACGCACTCATCGTCGTCCCATGAGCATAAGATCCCCTATCATGATCCAACAAAACCAGTGATGATGCAGTTGTATTCTAGTACTCAGAGAGAAAGAGAGAGAAGGAGAGAGAGAAAGAACCTTCATGAAAATCACATCTCCTTGAGGAACCCACTCCAACATGTCCCCCCCGACGTGTTCTATGCCTGGACGCTCCAAAATAGAAACAACACAACCAACCTCCATGAACAAGTGTATAGTACGTTTAGTCCAATCTCAACCATCCTTTCTCAATAATGGACAATTGAAGTGCACTGTTCTTCTACTTGAGCAAAACAATAGTAGCCTTGATAGGAAGAAAAGTCCATCTTAATCATCTATTATGAAGTCTAACTGTTTGAGACTACACATAGTATACTGTGCTCCAACGTTTATGCATGTGGTATGCTAGGGCCAGCAATAGGTCCTGATTGGGCCAAGGAGGTCAGGCCTGATGGCTAGGCCAGCCATGGCCCTGCCCCGGCCCTATCCTCACACCATGGTTGCCGTCCTTGGCCCGTCCCCCGGGCCACAAAACCATAGTTTTTTAGGGTTAGGCCAGGCTACCCAGCCCATAGCCACCCCTAAGTGCATATTGTGGTATAGTAAGGCTAAGAGTAATTATAACCTTGTGTGGAAAATAAATAATCCCATTATTTACTTTTCCGTACATATCCCAACAGAAAACAAAAAAAAATAAATAAAGGCTACATTTCTTTAAGAGAAACGCATCTACTTACCCAGATAAGGAGGCGCAGCTTCCACCACCTTAGGCAAATCAAAATTTATCCCCTCGAGGCCTTTATGTTTATCTAAAATCTTCTTCAAGCAAAAACCAGAACTTCCTCCTAAATCCACAACTCTCCTCACTCCCTCAAACCCATCATACCTCTCTAGAAACCAATCCATAACCGCACCCGAACTGCTGCTCATCGCCTCCATCATGCGCTCATTAAACACTGGATCATCAGCATGATAGTGATAAGCCGGCTTGCCATGAGCCTTAATGAATGGTTCGCTAGATGGCTCGAGTACCGCCTCATGCAACAACCTCCATGCATCGAGCAATGCATCGTCCAATCGATACAATATGAACGCCCCCATTGAACGGTCCACAATTTCCCTCCCAAGCCCAGTCAATGAGAACCGCCGGCCTTCAGATGGGCCCAGCATGGTCTCATTGAACACTCCATGGGCTGTGAGGAGCCTCAGCATTCGCTCGAGGTTCGATGAGCCCGCTTCACTACCGAGCTTTGTGGCGATTTCCAAGGCAGTTAGTGGTGTGTTCTCGCCATTTTGCCATATGATTTTGGGCACGTCGAGCTTCGCCATTGCGCGCAAAGACATGGAGACAGCTATGGAGTTTGTGAGCTCCATCATAGCCCATGTAGTGTGACTTGCACCATTAGAACCATTGTTGCTCACTCCCTCCATGCTCTATGTTATGTGATGGTTCCTTTGTGACTTGTGACACTCAGGCCTTGCCTCCTCCAGGAGATTTAAAGGTACAATGAGCAAAGAACATGACATGAAGGCCACGTCCTTTTGCAGCATAGTGACCAGCATTAGTTGGGAATTATTGATCCCCATTGTGTGGTGTTATGTGATGGTTCCTTTGTGACTTGTGACACTCAGCCCTTGCCTCCTCCAGGAGATTTAAAGGTACAATGAGCAAAGAACATGACATGAAGGCCACGTCCTTTTGCAGCATAGTGACCAGCATTAGTTGGGAATTATTGATCCCCATTGTGTGGTGTTATGTGATGGTTCCTTTGTGACTTGTGACACTCAGCCCTTGCCTCCTCCAGGAGATTTAAAGGTAAAATGAGCAAAGAACATGGCATGAAGGCCACGTCCTTTTGCACCATAGTGACCAGCATTAGTTGGGAATTATTGATCCCCTGTGATTTACTTGATGATGTATGCTATTATAGAAGTATAGTAGTCTGTTTTTTCAATTTTTTTGTCCATTTGGGTGAATGATTGGGCTCTCTTGTGTTGCTTAGTGGTTGGTACAGGTGACCCATATTGTTGCTGCAATTTAATAGTAAGTAGTGGACGCTATCCCGTTGCCTTTTTTGGATTACTGGAATCACAGAAGCATGGGGAACAATTTAAAACAGTTTCAAAACCAGATCGTAAGAACCAAGGAGTAGAAGGTGAAGCATGATACGAAGATTTTCCATTGTGTGGTGTTTATGATATCACAGGCAGCTATCTATCATCCGATCTAAAGATGGAGATGAGCATGGCTAACTAAGCAATGTAGGGGTCGCAACGGGTCGGGTGGCCCGGACCCAGACCTGAACTAACCTAATTGGACTCAAACGAAATAAAAATTTAATTTACATATTTAAATTCATTTTAAACATTATATTGAAAATATAATTATATTTATTTAAATATTATAAATTTAAATAATCATTTAAACATTATATATTTAAATAATCATTTAAATATTAACAGTAATTGGCTCGTGTTTGGGTCAGATCTACATGGACTTGGTCCCTGGACTCGATATTGTTCGAGTCCAAGATTTTGAGCGGACCCGGCCCGTGGGGTCCAATTTTTTGAACCCATACCTAAACCCGGGTCGGGACCAAGTTGGGTCCGGATCCTTTGCCACCCCTAATAAGCATTAAAAAAAAAAAAAGTGAATACCCAATATTTACCTTATTAGGACAATGTGATAAAAAACAATGAAATGAAGTTGCGCCTATGTACCATGTCAAAAGTAGTTTCAATATCAGAAACCCCTACAATAGCCTAAAATCTAATTTTGTTGCTCCCTAATTATGAAATTTAAAGCTTCAAATATAATGCAGATTGAGCAAATCTACAATCACTTGAAAATCTTGATGATAGATGGTCCAAATAATGCATTACAATGACCTTTTTTGGACTTGAAAGCCATCTTTTTCTTTTTGTTTTCTTTTATATCCGTACATCTTGTGGTCAAGATAATTGATTGAAGTGTTTTGCAGCTTCAGAACTACCTTTTCCGATGGGTTTTATGTATCTTACTTTTATAAATTAAAACTATTGCCTTAAAAAAAAAAATTCCATATTTACTTTTTTGCACATGCCCTATAGATATTTATCTATCCACACATGCCTTATATAATGTATGTAATGCATGGTAAAAGGTAAGAGAAGAAATCTTATTAAAAGCGAAATGCGCAAGGCAATTCATTCATGTATTTACTACCAAAAAAAAAAAACATGTTTTACAGGATCCACAGTAGAGTACTTTGAATATCATATCTCTAGGAGACGCACCTTACTGCTTGACCACAGCATTCTAACCATTTGGATAACACAACAAACATTGCATAAAGGACCACATTTTGAAATCTCTAATTGAGCCTTGATATTCCCATGTTAAAATCGGGTCTGACCCTATCGAACTTGGCTGTTTATTAAATGTCTTTGTTGAGAATTCTTAGTCGAATTGGAAAATCTAATGAGAAATTTCCTTTAGGGTTCTACATAAGAGAAAATAAGGTTTCACCTGACACTTGGGACAAAGTATTAGCTCCTAAAAGAAAGGGGGGAGTGAAGGTTAGAAAACTTAAACTAATAAATGAAGTCTTATTGACAAAGTGGCGGTGGAGATATCAGGTTGCTCTGATTGCCCCTCAATATGGAAGAACATTGGGACTTGAGCATTATTTATGGGGAATACCAGGATAAAACTAGGAGGTGATAGAAACATCATTTTTTTGCATGATCGATGAATTGTGGATCGACCCCTAAAGTGATAGTACCTAGATGTTTTCAGTAAAGTGAGGGCAAAGGCAGCCACAGTTGCCACTGTGGTTGAAGGGTATGGCCTTGGCGTAAATATTGTAGATATGCTACATTGAAGGACCAGTTCATTACACAAATGACTGATCAAATTCATTTATTATCACCCCCCTTTTGCTGATGAACTGATTAGGGAGAACAATGTGGACGGATGTTTCACGGTGAATTCATCATCTTCATAACTTTTTTTCAATTAATTGAGATCGGTACACGAATCCGGATCCGTCATTCTGCTCTATTAAGCACTATACCCTTATTGTAGGTTTGGGATTCATAATAAGTTTTGACAAAATTTTACGTTCGCTGCCTACCTAATACAACCCAACCTTTTTACCTGAGCATGAGATGGGTTAAGGGAAAGTTTAAAGTCCTCACACGTCTTAGACAGGTGAATTCAACATATAAAAATCCTTTTTCAACATAGAATCTAACCTTCCTTTTTAACCATCCCTAAAGTCTGCAAAGTTCCAATTCCAAATAAAATCCAAGATTTTTCTTTGGGTTCATATGGGGAAAGGTGTTTACGGCTGATAGACTAGAAACATAAGGTAAGATTATCACCAATATATGTGTAATGTGCGACGCCGATGAGGAAACCACTGAACATCTCTTCTTACGTTGTGAATATGCCTCTAGATTGTGGAACAAGTTGTGCCACTCGGACAAGTCCAAATCCAGAAGGTTTGGGAGAAAAATATCCCACCTAAAGGGTATTAAGGAGAAGACCTTGTCAAATGCGTGGGAATGGGTACAAGGCAGAAAAAAATGTTAAGGGGTTTTAAGATCTGATATATTTTGCAGCCTAGATGAAAGCTTCAAGCTCAAAGCTAGATTAAGAGAAGAGAGTTGCTCACTAATTTAGACCTCACGAGAACTCTATTAAACTCAATTTTGATGATTGTTCCTTGGGGATGGGGGTATTCATGATAGACCATAATGGAGCGGCTCTGCTAATGTTCTCGGTTCTCCGTGGCTTTGCCAGATAATAAAGCTGAATTTGAGGCCCTCTTGCATAAGTTTTTATTGAAGGGGACTGGCTCAATGTTATGAAGTGAAAAGAGTCCCATGGTATCGGGAAATTAAGGACCTAATTAATTTGAGAGAAATCAAAGTTTACTAAGAAGCAAATAGTACCCATGCGAAGGATGGTGTGTTTCCAAAACAATTTTGTGTGTAGTTTTCATTCTGCGTCTTTTGGGATAAGTTTTGTTGTTTATCTGTGCATGTACCGTGATTCTTGAATACCTCGCTTCCCAATTGTATAGGTCTGTGCGTTACATTTTTTAATGAAATGACTACGTATAAAAAAACGAAAAGAAAGAGATATATTTTGCTTTGGTTTTTTATTTTTAACTTTCTAGTTGGGTGTGTTGTTAGGGTAGGGGAAGGGGAAGGGGAAGGGGAAGGGGAAGGGGAGGTAGTGCTTCCACCACCTCCCGTCTCCCGTTCAGTGTGACATCTTTTAAAAACCAAGTTCCAGAAAATGTGAAAATCCTATAATGATGCTAATAGTGCCTGACCCTTAGTTATGTTGTAAGGGACAAAAGGCGAATTCATATGTTATATATATAAAAAAACAAAGTATAAAAAAATATGAAAAAGTATACAATGATAATTTATTTTTGGTACAAGATGGTCACAATTGATCTTGACCATTGGATGTGAAATTATATGGTTGCATTTATTTCATTAATCAAGCTCAAACTCAAACGAAATTTTCTCAAACTTTGTGACACACCCAACCTATCAAATTTCACATTAGATAGTTGTAAGTAATTGTGACCTCATTGTATCAAAGGTAAATAGTGTCATTATATACAATCCCTAAAAATGTATGGGAAAGTATATAATGAGAGCATTTACCTTTTGTATATGGTGGTCACAATAAATCTTAACCATTGGATGTGAAATTGGGTGGCTGCATTTATTTCATTGACCAAGCTCAAAGTTCAAAATAAAATTTCTCGGACTCTGTGTCACACCCAAGCTATCAAATTTCGCATCAGATAGTTGTAAGTAATTGTGACATCCCTATTCCAAAGGCAAATTGTGTCATTTATACAATCCCAAAGCACATATATGTGTAAGGCCCTAAATAATTGAATTAAGGCACATCACAAAATTCACTAAGAGAGGTTATTTCGATGCTAAAAAACCTTCAATTCGATCATCTCAACCTCAAGATATATAGATATGAAAAAAAATAGATTTCAAGTCTTGAAAATAGTGCATCTTGTAATGTATTATTTAGATCGTAAATTTTCAAGATTTTCAAGTGTTTATAGATCTATACTATTTTTTAATCTTTAAATTTTTATCATTACAGATAAAAATAAATTTTAAAATTATAGCAAAGGTTTCTTATACTAAAACAACATATTTCAGCTTTATTTAAAGGTCCGTTTAATTTGATTGGTTGGCCCTCAGCCTTAAACAAACCACAGCATTTATATAGTAAGGCTGGGAATGAAGGGTGGAGGTTGAGGCATCCGCATCTATTGTCGGTGAGCATCACTTTAGCTGTTACAATTGAGTGATGACAACATGATATCGATATGAAGGGATAGACATGAATTAAAAATCTAAAGCCCACGAGAAACAACTTGGCATCCAGAATGTAAATGGAAACGATTTTATAAGTGGACCCCCTGTTGGCACACATATCTAGCCATATAATCCATTTGCAAGGGCCCATAAACGATG